CGGGGTCGCCGACCGTTCTCCGCCCAGGAGCCGCAGGAGATACATTTTAATGGTGGCGGTTCCGAGTATTCCCTTAAGGGGCGGAGATAGGGATAAGGTGGAATGCGAACTCGGGCATGCTTGTTGTATATAGAGGTTGCGGACTCGGTTATTGTAATGCAGGTCACAGCGCGAAGGCTGTGCTCAAGAGAAATGAGTTGACGGTCTGGAATTCGGAGGAGCCGAACTTCATATATTGCCGAACGGCACTGAAGTCATGTAATGCAATTGGTTTTATTCGATTTCTAACCTTCATTGGAAAATGGAATCATTTACTATGAACCTATTTGATGTCTGTTACCTGGCGTAAAGACTTCTGCTTCGAGACTAATGTTCAATTCATGTTAAGTACTCGTTGCAGATAGATGTTTGCATTGTAGATTCTAAGGATCAAATCAGAATTCAGAGAACACGTACATTGGAATAGTTTTAAACAAACTTGACAATTAATTGTTAATTTTGTGAATATGTAGATACTTGAAATTGCATTATATGCCTGCATCATTACAAAGATTCTAAGGTAACAGTGAGGACAATTATTCCGTCTACAAAGAGCTATTTATATTTTTATTATTAACAGAATTGCGAGTACACGCGGGGATTCTTCTTCGAACTGGAATTAAATTCAAGGCAATTTCGTATTCCCATTTCGTTTCTAGTTTCTCGGATCGATTTCCTGACGTGAAAACACGCCGGCAAGAATTGCCGTCTCTGCGGCCAGTTTTCTTCCCCGGGAAGGCTCGGGTCGGGTAATCTCGTCCGGGGTCGAGTCGCCCCTGCCACTGTGCGTCTGTGGGGATCTCCGCTGCCCTGCCCTGCCCTGCCCTGCCCTGCGCGCCGCAGATCGATGCCACCACGCCAGCCTCCCCCGCGGAGCCTGCGAGCGCTTCCTACTGCCCGCCAGCGCACGCCCGCCGCGCCGCGCCCCGCCGCCACCCCCGCGTCACGTCGCTACCTCGGGGCTGGCGGCTGCGCTATGCAACATACAACAGGTCTGTCTGGGCGGCTCCATCGGGAGGCTGATCTACTTTTCGGAACTGGAGAAAGAATTTATCTTCCCGTGCAATGAAAACAATACCTTTTTTCCATTAGCGCTCATTTTGTATACTTCCAGTAACAGTACTCTTGCCTAAAATTATTACGGTATCAATATAAAAATAATAGAGAAGGAAAATATTTTAATAAAAATAATATCTGTAACCAAACGCTTCTTATATTCAACCTGACCAACTGGAGGTATTTGAACATTTTTCTTATGGTGTCTGTGCGCGCATCATTTTTGACAGAAGTTAAAACTGGGCAAATAATTAGGAAATATCAAAAGTCTCAATAAATCTTATGAAGAATATAAAGCGCACAAGCGACGAAGAATCAAGAAGAATTTCAAGAAGCATCTTGACTATTGATTAGGTCGAGGGTTTAGTCGAGGGTGCTAACTGTTCATGACAGTACAAACTTGAATGAGATGTGCTATTTTTCTAATGTGAAAATGTGAATTGCGAATTGTGCGAATTTAAGCGGTCGGCCTTCAAAAAATGTTAACATCGCATTTCACAGGAATGGTGAATAGAATAAGTAAAAAGGTTTGAATTTTAATGATACAGTTAAATCTCGAGTATCTCTCTCTCTCCCTTAAGTATCCCATGTCTATACGGAAGTGAGAATTGACAAGATCAAGAAAATACAAGATTTCCAAGTGACTTCCGAAATTCGTGGATTCAACACCTTGAAAGGATGCATGACAACCGATATCCGAAGAGAATCTTGCAATGCCACCCACAAGTCGAAGAAATCCTGTTTGCCCGAGAAAGAGAAAGGGTGAACAGATGAGAATAGAGGCGTAAAAGGCGGTGCCTATAAACCCGAGGGAGAGGAAGAAGTTAAATCTCAAAATCTGGAACGAGAATTACGCCACATCTCGCCACAATTTTTCTCGTGTTCGCCTCTCTTCCCTAATGTATTTGGAATTCTGCAATACTGAAATTCGTTAAGTCACTGCATTTATATCATTTTTTTTTCTTTCTATCGATGACCAGATGTTTTCTGTAAGTTCGAGGTGTAAAGGTTCCAATATATTTCGAGTTATTATGATTTTCAGGTAGTAAACTAGCGGTCTTGGGAGGTGTCCATTGGGTGTGAGGTTTATCTGGCTGTTCAGTCCACAGCTTGTATTATTTTCTTGTATCATTTATCTCTCTCTCTTCTCATATGCTCGTTCTTTAAAAATTTCTAAGGGGGTGTGGGCATTACCTCTGTTCTTCTGCTTCGCAATGAAGTAAATGTACAGTTTTATTTTGAATTAATACAAAGATTTTGATCAGTATTTCAACAGAGATTGTAACTCATATCCGTAGGTCATTATGAGTAAATTTATCACATAATTCTGAGCGTTATATGCAAGTAATACATGCATTCAATCTTTGTTTCCAAGAAATACCAAAATGGTAAGGTTTATTATACGGTAGTTTACAAGGTATCATTTTTACGTTCAGTGTAAATTTCAGTTTTATGCTTTCATTTTGGCTTACGTTTTGACTTTGAAAACTACACGTTTGTCGCTAGTATCGCAGCTGTGTAGCTAGAAACCTTTCACGTAACTGTCTTTCATATTTTATTTGCAGCACACGGTCAGTTGTCACCAAATATTCATCGTTTAAGAGCCATCGTCGTATCTAGTAATACGATTCGTTTTAAAAACATCGGTATCGATTCTGTTTAATTTAATAAATGTAAATTCTTTCGAATTATAAACAGATCAATGTAATGCATATTTGCCGATTTTAGACCTAATAGTTTTCTAGGGCCCGGCAACAGGACTGGTCACAAATCAGATTAATGTGAGATTAACGGCGGTTTTCTACTCTTTAGGTTAGGGATCGTGGCGAGGCAAAGACCTTACATTGCGATGATTTTCTTGATTCCGCTTTATTTTTATTCAGCTTTTTAGGACATTTGTGTAGAATTATGGGCTAATGAATTGTGTAAAATACGACAATAATCGAAATGCATCTGTTAAAGTATTTCGTCTAGCTCTTTACCTACAACTTAGTCGTTCTTCGTGAAGGAATAACTTGCTGCCAGTTCGAAGTGGAAGCCGTTCGCATATTTGATCCGCTAGGATTTCGGCGAGGGTTGCTGTTTTGAGTTATCTGAATAGTTGTTGGCTGCTTCACTGAGCGCGCCCATAATTCTGAAGGCGAGAGGATTAAATCTTCCAAGTTGGAGATTCTGAGCAAACTTCGGCCGTCGGGGGCGGGGGATCGATTCTGTCTGGAGCAGTTGCGGGTTGCGAGCAGCGGTACGTACGAGGAATTTCTCCCGAAGATGAGCATTGCTTGTTATGTAATGTGTATAGCGTCGGCTCATAAAAAATATTGGCGGACGTTTTCGATGGGGGAATAAAATTTGAACGTCGTTGATTCTCTACGAAGTGCTCTACTCCCATTGGAACTCCTCGCTTCTAAAAATTCCTTATATACTTTTGCGCAGACTCTACAAGTTTTCCTTTGTTATGATTAAGCACACGTATTCTGAATAACATGAGTTTGCCATCAATTTTGGCCTCATCCATTAGATTTCCTCGCACATCTTCCTTCAGTTGGAAAGTAAAGCCAATTCTTTATAGTTTTTTTGTTTATTTGCAGGATGTTGAATCGCACAACTTATATTAGTACCAGAGATAAATTCAAAGGACTATTTGCTGCTTTAATTTATCTCCTTTCGAATTAAGTACAAAAGTTCAAAATGAGAAGGATTTAAGTATATATGCGCCTTTTAATTTATTTCATCAGGAGCTTGACTTTCAATGGCAATAATTTAATTATTCCTAATGATTGATAGATTATGATATTAATAATAATAATAATAATAATAATAGTAATATTAATAAATGATAATCAGCCGATCCGGATAGCCGAGATAGCTACGGCAGTAGTGCGGCAGTATTCGGGTTCGAGTCCCCCTTCGGGCATGGTAGTGTGTGTTTGTGTCTGTATGTTTGTGATTGTTCCTTCACCCTTTATCATCATCATCATCCCACTAGAGTTAACAACCATGGTTGTAAAAATAGATTCGGCATTAAATTGCTGATCCCCCCCAAAAGGGTCACATGCACTTGGTTCCGGGAGGTTATGACTTAGCCTCAGTGGGTACTAGTGGCCCGTTCGCGTGTTCTCCGATAGCCAATTCGCGACCAAAAAAGTTATCATTATAATTAACGTTGAAAATCTAACCCTGACAATATAATAACTTATTTTATTCGAACCGACTATTCTTCTGTTGGTGGAAACCCCTGTTGGTTTGCACTATTCACAATTGTAGAAGTTCTTTTTGAGGCTCTTGTTTGGAGAGTGCGTGCAAACCGAGGTAAACAAGTAAGCGCACAGGAGAGAGAGGCGAAGGGAAATTGCATTCCACATTATTTAAATTAAAGCTCCTACGAAATTCCGGAAATGCAACGCAGGCAACGGTTTCGAATTGGAGGAACTTGATGAACGGATGCTTCATGTATCGAGATATCTTGTGAATTACCATGAAACCGTGAAGTATGCTCTTATAAAAGTTCCTAAATATATAACTTTCTAATTAATTAATGTACAGTAGTTATTAATGTTATTGGGCCGATAATCAACGAATTGCAGTCGCGGTTGAAGGTTTTAAACTGAGGTGATAGAGGAAGCGTATAACGAAAACAGTCTGATATTTGTGTTATCGATCTTGTGTCGTTCAATACTGTTCGTAATACCATCTCCCTTCAAAAACAAAATGATATTAACAAAAAATATCATTTCTTGGAATAAGTGTATTTACCCACCATCTTTGCTAAAAACATATTTGCTTCGCATGTTTATAACGGACCGTGGATTGTTAAATCATTAACGGACACGGGTCGTAAAGATTGGCTTTTCGTCCCCCTGTTTGGTTGCGTTAATTCGATACATTAACAGCTCAGTATTACGAAAATGAATATTCAAATCGGTGGTGTTAGAATCGGAGGAGTTAGGGTCGGCTGCGCAGATGTACTGCGAGCGCGTGGATCGGGCCCGGAAGCCGTGGCGTTCGCCCTCGAGTGCTCTCGCGTCATTTCAATCAGCGTGCCCGCGAGGGCTGGGGGCGTGGCGGCGCGGGGCGGCGCGGGGCCGGGAGGAGCAGATCGGCGCGGAGGCGCGCGAAGGGCTGCGCGGTGGCCGGCGCAGCGCGGGCCTCTATCGATCGCGTCGGCGGCGGCGACGGATGCTGGGGCCGGTAGTCGGGACCCGGGGACCGCGCTGGTGGCCTGCCCGCCCGCCCGCCGGCCGTGTGTGCTGCTGCCGCTGCCGTCGCCGCCGCCACGCCGCTCGCTCGTCGCTTGTCTATCGCTCCGGTTAGTGCCGCGCCCGCCCCCGCGCGCGTTTCATGCGACGCGCGACGCCCCCCGGGTGACTAACTGCTGCCCCTTGCGCTGGATGCGCTCTGCTGGTCGGCGGATTGAGGTTAGGTTTTGTTCTCCCTCCGCAACAGGGCCTCCAGGGGTGGTCGAAGAGGTAAGGCGCTCTGGATGCTGAATTGGATGTCGGGCTTGTTTCTCTGTTGGGCTCTTTTTCTGCATTTTCTTGTTGTAGTTGTACCTTTATAGCTTTGTAGATGAAAACTGTAGAGATTATATAATATTTAAATATATAAACTCGCGTGAAGAGGCTAGGTCGTTATCGATCTGTTTACTCTGTGGGGATTCTCTTTTGTTTCTTGAGTGCGCTGTAGCTGATGTATGGTGTTGTAATCTTTTGGTGAATTCCATTAACTACTAAGTGTTTGTTGTGATGAGAAAGGTTTGAACACTTTTGGATGCTTAGAGACCTTGTGTCATTCTTTTAAATATATCCTACAGGTTGTCCAACTATCACAACCGTCGATTATGTCTGTTTTTGTAAAATCCATGTATTTGCCTCGGAAGATGATGGTTTTCGTTATCAATTGAGTTATTTGAGTATGCAACGCATGGGTTCTGCATGTACTGGAATTGATGTCATATTGGCACTTTATTATTGATTACTTCAATCCTCTTAATCCTTACCTTGTCTTGCCTTTCCTCACCTTACACATCTAACATACACAAATCAAGAGTATCATTAGTAAACACTTTGATAGATAATTGTTTAATTTGTCACATATTTGACGATAGTGAGGTTTCAAACTGCAAATACACTCCTGTCTGTGAAGTACCATAAGTTCTCCCCCCCCTCCCGTGCATCTAAAATTTCGGTTGCTTTCACCATCTTTTACTGACCTATGTTTCGTGTTCCGAATTTGGCTTGGTTAGTTGCCAACTATGATGTGCATATAAAGATTGAAACTATTCAACATTGTAACTCCGTTATTTAGATTAAGTGTAGCATATAATCTATATATTCTACATGAACCGTAAACTATCTCACTTCTAAATGAGATTAGGTCAGGGAAGACTGAACTTTACCGAGGTCGTGTGGAGCGGTTGGTAACACTGCAAACACAAAATATCCCCGAGTTACAGTTTCTAGGCAAACAGGGTACCAAGCTGAAGCGTATTTACATATCTCAAGTGAATATACTGAAATAAATAAATTTATTTATTTATTTATTATATAAAAGAATATACTGAAATAATTATGGTACTTTCAATACATATCACATAATTCACCCCCTTCCTATTTCACTTTTCGGACATGTAAAACCACTTTATGCACAAAATAACTGTCACATTGGAAGAAGGTAAATACACATATTAGTGCTACAGACTTTGTAATGTTTGCCTTTAAGATAAACATGTCCTAAAAAAATATACGTATCTGAATCTAGAAAAAAAATTGTGTATATCCTCTGCAAGGCCTGACACATTCACATAAAGACATTATCCAACTTGACAGAAACAAAATCGAACGCAGCCATAGAATTCTGTAGAGAGTCGAAAGCATTGCAATAAAAATCAAAAACGCCCTAACTCCCTCGAGTTCAGTAGCGCGGGCACTTCTTATTCGGGGACGTAGCTTCCTCCCGTTGGGCGCGGGCCTTCTCCCACGGGAGTGCGCTGAAAGCGGCTCTAAGTGGGCGACAAAGGGAGCGCCCGTCCTGGAAGCCGTAAAGACAAACGCTGCCGGTGGAGGGCGCGTCGGCGGAGTCAGTGGGCGATCTGCAGGGCGTCGCACGCGCCGCGGGGCTCCGAGCTACAATAGAAGCCACGGAGAATAGAATCGCCTAGTGACGTAAACAGACTGGTGGTTTTAATGGGTATTGCTATTGTAAAATTAGTGGAGTGTTTTAATGCAGTTTTGAAATGGACGTTCCTTGTACAAACAACGGACCTGTCGTTTTCTGAAAGAAATAGGTATTCATGTTTTGAAACCTGCGTGGCTACGCGATGCCAGTTTAGTAACTCAAATGTACGAATGTTTGGGAAATTTGTGAAGATCATTCTGCGAGTGGAGATGCTCTATCTTAATTTGTCGTCCAGCAATATCTAACCTCATTTTTATTATTCAACTTACGTCTAGTCGTAAAAATGTGTTTAAAATCTCTGTACTGACATTTTTACATAGTACTCGTAAACACTTTAAATTTTTTGAAATGAATTGGAGTGATGGTAATAAAAATTATCAACGTATACAACAATCGTTTCATCTATTTAAAGAATAAACCCTTTTAAATTCGTTAATTTTTAATTTGCTTCAAGCGGGCAATAATGTGTTATTTATGGATTTTTGTGCGGACTGAAATATATCAATTTAAACTCGGTAAAAATTTCATTTTCCCCCATTTTTTCTAATTTTGTATGTATACCAACACATCCGGTTTTTCTACATTTTCTGAAAGTGAAAAAATCACAAATTCCAATGGTGATTTACTCTGAACGTGAGAATGTTGTTGCAAAGTGCCTTACCTCCTGGTAAGCAGGGTGTTCGACGCAATTCCGATCCCAAAGAGTGATGCTTACTCCATTGTGTACGCGTTCGAGCAAATACGTTTAGGAGAGAGATCTCGGAGGGGAAATAGGAGACAACGAACGTGTAAACTTGATTAATCGCAATTTTAGTAGCTGGGTGTTTCACAAATGGAAATAGTGAAGGGGGTAGATGTATTATTTTAGTATGGCAGTTTGGTCCGTTTCTAAGAATTCTCAAGGCTCGATTGAAACGCTTCTTTTTGACGAACAATTTCGGACGTTTTAGCGAACGCGCGAACGCGCACAGCGGCTCTGCCTCCCCAGAAGCTCCCGTTCGCATTTGCTAAGACTCGAAATCGTTCGTCAAAAAGAAGCGTGTAAAATGTGCGTAAGAGAGACGTACGCAGTTTGTCCATCTTTTCCTGCTTTGCTAAATGACGGACAAAATCGTTTGAATTCCGGTAATGGTTAAAAGTTTAGTAACGTTTTAAAACGCAGAATAAGAGCAGCGGCCAGTGATGGATGTTAGATGTAACCTCAGGCGTGCGTGCACTGTCGTTCTAAAGTAATACAAGTGCGTGGCCGTGCGCATGCGCCCCTCGCAGCGCCGTCCGGAGGGCTCCCGAGCTCGTAGCTACGCGGCGCCGCGCGCGCGCGCGTGAACCCGCAGCTAAGGCGGCGCGTCGGTGTCTTTCAGAGGCGTGCGGGCGGGCGATGAGCCCGACCAAGGTATCTGCGGCGCACGCGGAGCACGAGGAGCGGGCGGCGCGGGCGGCGGCGGAGGCGGAGGCGCAGGAGGCGGGCGGCGCGCGCCCTGTCGCCGCTCCGCCGCCGCCGCGTCGTCCGGGCGGCGGCGGGCGCTCGGGCTGCGGCGGGGCGTGCGGCGCGCGCTGTGGCTGCCCCCGCGCCACGCGCGCTCGCCGATGGTGGCGTGGCGGCGGCCGCGCGCTGCTGCTCTTCTGCTGCACGTGGGCTGGGCGCGCAGGCGGCCGCGGCGGCCGGGGCCCGCGACCGCGCCAACGCCAGCGCCGCCGACGCCACCGAGCGCATGATCCTGCTGTGACGCGCTGCACACTCCACACGCTCTTGTTGTTTGTTTTTGTTGGATTGAATTGTTTGCTTGAATACACTGCGATTGTTGTATTGTGATGGTGGTTAATGATTTCTTTTACTAACCCTTTCACAACATCCATTCCCATAGTAAACCTCCCCGTTGAATGCATTCGACAAAATACGTTTCTCAATGTACCGGCATTGAATAGGTTAGATACATTCACACACACTACAGCCCGTACACAAGTGTATTTTATCCAGTCTGTCTCTTTCCTACTGGCATCCTTTGTTCTCTCCATTTTCCTCTTGCCATTTATTATTCGCCAGCTTTCCCCTCTCGCCTCTTTCGTCCCCTTGTATAGTTGTATCTGGCTTCAAAATACCTACGAGCTCTCTTATAGCAGCTCTGCCAGAATGAGCCTTCTACGGATACTTCATGGAAATGTTTGCAGAGCTGCGTTTAAAATAAGATGGCATCCGTGGACTGATGCAAGAATGAATAATAATATTGAAATCTACGATTTGCAGGGCATTACTATCTTCATCAACTCTCGTTGTCTGGATTCTAAGGTATTTTGTATTTTCATTGGCATCCTAGTCTCTCATCATCTACACCAGTCTATGTATGTCATTTCTACGATATTTAGTATGTGTTGGAGTACTTATCCTTTCTCAGTATCTGATCCTTGTTGAATGCAGTATTATTTCAAGTTCGTATCCTATGAATCTTGTTGCTTGTCATTCGTCCATCTCACATCTTCCAATTACCACAATAATTACCTTCTCTTACCTCTGTCTTCCGCCCTCTTACTTCACCTCCCTTTTCCTCGCTTACTTCAGTTTCCTCTGTTTCCATCCTTTCTTTGTTCTCGCTACTCATGAAAATACCTTCCCGTTCTTTGTGTTAGTTCTTTTGAAAAGACTGAACATCTAAGGGATGTAAGATGATGTATTCGCGTGAGCGTGGGACTCCAATTGGAAATATAAAGGTGAAACACGGAAGAGATGTATTGCCTCTGAATTCTTGTGTAGCTAAGTGTCTCCTTGTCACGCAACGACGATAATCTCCTGTTTCCATAATTCTGCATCGAGAAAAGTTGAATGAACTGCTCTGGTGTATGCTTAAACTGTCAGTGACTTTCCGTTCATTATCTCGTATATTTACTATTCTGTAAATACTGCAGAGTACCGGATGTTTGATGTGTTCTTTACATGTTCCTGCTTTAACGTATTTCGCTCTGTCGTCTCCCTGTCTATGCTGTCACTACCGGGTAAGATGTGTAATAATAATAATAATAATAATAATAATAATAATAATAATAGAAGACGAATATTAATTATTATTGTTATTATAATTATTATAATACGAAAAGTGTTTGAGACGTTAATTATAGAGTTTGTTGCTGCCTCTACAAGAGACTACGAGTAATATGCCATAAATTGAAGATTTTGAAAATGAAAATGCGTACATGGTAATGGAGTAACCTCAGTCCGTCCAACGTTAGGCCCCTTCAGGTTAACCGATTGAGGCAAATGAGGGGTCATCTCACGCACCTTTGTCTCCTGGTAGGGAACTGATCATACTTTACGGATCCATCCAGAAAATGTTAAGAAATGTCTCCAAAACCATTTTCATAAGCTGCTGTAAAGAGTGTTGAGTGATTTGCGGCACCTACAGAAGTGATCAGTAACTCAGTCGATACGTCTCGACGAGACAAATCAATTGGCGCAGTTCTTAGTTGGTTCCCTCTAGGATATTCTGGAAGAATTCTAAGGGGGGGGGACGTCTTTTGATTATTTCAATACACCTATGGGAACATTGGCGATACGCTTGGATTTTGCATACTCTCTTTCTGGTATTTCCATGAATCGTTACAACTTAATTTATTATTACGACGATTGATGATAAACTTAATTTTTTTATGAAGTGTGAAAGGAATTTGTTACAGGACAGCATCTAAACTCGTTTCGATTTGGATAGTTTTTACGCTATGTATGCATGTGATCACATTCCATTGCTCTCGACGAGACAAATGTATTGGCTTTAGTTTTATCCGGAACTTTCCAGAATATTCTAGAAGAATTGTAGAGAAAAATGTTTTGTTGCCTTTTAAGGTTTTTCGTTATAGTAGCGATAATTAAACCTACAAATGTAATGAAACTCGAAGTTTTTAAAAAGTACTTTTTGCTTTTTTTATCGATACTTATTTCGCACTTTACTTCGTTTCTGAGGACAGACGAATCGGGCTAGCTTGTTCAAAAAGTAATTTTTGATGTGGATTTGCATAACATAAATTGTCAACATAAAAGTACTCGCCGCCGTACGTTCCTCATTACGTGCTTTTCCAGATGTGTTTTATTTTATGAATACGTAGATGATAATTTCTATTCTTCTTCTTTCAAATTCCAAATACCCAATATCCGCCTCATCATGCTATTCTGAACGATCTTCCTTGCCTTCCTTCTTCGACGAGTCGCATCTCCGAGGAAACCTCTTATAGTGACACGTAACCAAGACTTCCCATTTAGGGACAACACTTTTATAGAAATGTCTAAAAATAGTAACGACACGAGTTTAATATTTGGGGTGCGATCAGGGGTGACTATATACAAGTTCTAGACTAAGCACGTGTTTAGAGGCCCCGTTTCACACGAGGTTCTCTTATTTTAGTACATACATTTTTATTACAAAATTTAATATATATTTTTTAATTGTAAAGGTTATAGTTTATTTAGACATCATTCTGAAAACATGTGTTGAATATTATCAAGGTCCCTCAAAGTTTCGTGTAATAATGCTAGGACCTCTTAAGATAATAATCCGACCTTAGACTCGCTAATAATGACGCGAGATACATTGTTCCGTCATAGTGTGAATGCCAAAGATGGTATTGAATAAGAATCGCCACCTCCCTCCCTCCCTCCATCCATCCGTTCGTCCGCGTCTGGCGTCGAGCCCCGAGCCGTCTAATTAGCGCGAGTGCCGGGACTCCGCCCGCGACGCCACTCCATGTCACGCCACGCCCCGTTCTGCCACGCCACGCCACACCCCGGCCCGCCCAACTCACGTGTCACGGCCTCTTCGACTCCGCTGTGTGCACTCGTCAGAGGCCTGGCTCTCTACCCTTCGCTGCTAATGCGGCGTCGTTCCAGAAACGTCATTCGCCGCGCTTTCCTGTGGAGATCGTGGAGATCGAGGCAGAGATTCCGGTCGGGTACAGTGATGTTCTGCTAAACCTTCAAAAATATAATAGGCGGGTTTAGTTGAAATTTAATATCTGTGATTTTGCTATCTGAATACATTTTACCTGACAACGAGTGGTTACGCAGTAACAGTTGTGTGTGGTAGTGATAAGTGTCATGTGATATGACTGCACATGATAGCAATGGAACCTAACTTTCGATGAACACAACTGACATTCACATTGCGTATTTTATTTTCGGAAAAAAAAGAAAAAAAAATTGTCTTTCATTTACGTTGCGTTATTCAATGAGAAATATTTCGAGTAACTGTCAGTAATGCCCACGTAGCAGTCCTTACTTTCGTGACTTTGCAGTAATCTAAACAAATTTGCTGTCGCCCCAATGGGAAGCGAGGCACTCCAGTTGGTTTGTAGTGGAAGCTCTGGTGGCGGTCACGCTAAATGTAGCATTTCCTGTGGCATCGCCTGAATTACCCTGGTTTTACCCGAGGCAGTAAATTCTCTTGTCCCAACATTTGCGTCCCTCTATTCCACTAGCCACTAGCCTCCTCCACTTCCATACTCTATTCTTAATGAAATGTTATTAGTTTATAATATTCTTCGTAAATTGTCCATTTTCAATAAGTTGATTATAGGTTTTGTATTTTTTCTGTTTAATTTTTAATCTTCTTCAACATTACTGTTCATTAACCTAATAAACATTCATTATTTTTTATTGTAAGTTTTTTGACTTTGATAAAACAGACTTGAGTTTGTTTTATCAGTTGGCTGGATGAAGCTGACAACTTGATCATTAATGTGAATGACAATTTTTTTATCAAAATGCTTTCCATTTATATGATGCCAACAAACGTGGACCCTGGGTTGTTTTTTGAAACAGACACCCAATATAATCGAAATGTTAAATGAATATATAACATGAAATAAAATGTTATAAAAAACTCAGTGTTATTGAGGTCAAGAAACTTACAAGAAAATAAACTTCATTCATTTTTGTCGTCAAATATCCTTCATTGATTTTTGTCGTTAGTAGTTGACGTCACTACGTTTATTCAGATTCGATTTATTGAGAAAGTGGCCTGCAATTTGTCTTATTGATTGCAATGTCAAATGATTTGTCTAGTTGGTTGCCGATGGTAGCACAAGCTTTCTGGAAGCGCCTGTACTCCGCCGCGAATTCTTGGTGCCTTTTCATCTTCGTTCTCTGCAAAGTGACTCATTCTCTTAAAGGTAGAAAGATTGCAGTGTAGTGGGTGGGGGTAATGCATTTTCATTAGCACTGTTCTTTCCAGATGCACGAATTACCTTAAGGTGTAGTTGAGGAACATGTCCGTGATTTGCAGCTGCTGAATCACTGCGAAGCAAGAGCTCAAGGCCGGCAGTGTTGATTTGAACCAGAGAATGCAAGTGGAAAATGCTACAAACTGTCATTAAGTTGGTGCTAATGACCCGCAAAAACCCCTCGATTCCTTTTTCGCATTTCGTTATAATTCTGGCACAATTTTAGCAGGACGCAAATATTCATCTTTATATCATACTGATATTGTTTTAACCCTTTTATTCTGTCACCAATATAATATTGCGAGTAGAAATAATACATAACGTGGCTTAAGTCTCTTGGTATTTAAAAGTTCTAATAACGCAATAAAAAATGTTCCGTAATGATTTCCATATCGTTGAGGAAATCTATAATTCACGGAACATTGTAAAATAAATATTACGAAATCTAATGACAATCATAAAGTAAACTTCTTGAAAAACTTTTTAACGAGAACTTGCAACGCCGAAGTCCTACAATAATGTAACTATTTTTTCGGAGTATTTTGAAGATTGAAAAACGAAATGTTGATTTATTAAACTCCGTATAATCCACGAAGTCACTCCCCCATCAAGAAGTTGCCAGCAGTGTTTGTCGAAATATTTTCATTTCGAAGCGAACGTTGTTTTTTTTCCTCCATGTATCAGGAAGATATTCGCTGAGCTTGGGCTGGCCGCGCGGGCAGTGGCGTTGGGGAGGGGAGGGGATGGGCGGCGGGCGCGCGGCCGGGCGGGATATCGTTCTGAATCCGAGGACTGCCAGCTCTTTGGCGCCGGTCCAGCAGCGCGCGCCGACGCCAGGCAGACAGCGCGGCGAGCCCCTGACTTGTCATCGCCCGAAACTTGTTACGATTTCCTGCCCCTCTCCTCGTTCTGATCCCCTCTCCTTATCCCCGCAAAGCTCCTCGCTCCGTCTCTCTCTCTCTCTCTCTCTCTCTCTCTCTCTCTCTCTCTCTCTCTCTCTCTCTCTCCCTCCCTCTCGTCTGCCTTCCTCGATGATGCCTGATTTGATTTGATTTAATTTATTTTTCGTCAAAGAACAGTAAAACTTGTAAGAGACGTATGGGGGAGAAGTATAATCTGCTCACGTTTTCTTGAGCTTCAGAATCTCTTCTCCACCTTTTTACTATGCGTAATTGTATGTATGAATTGTATGAATATCAGTGCCAACAAAGCGAGGTTAGCAACATTTACAAACTAGACATTTTCGCTCTCGAGTTATAGAAAACATTTGCTTCGGTTAAATCGAGACTGCTTCTTGCTCCGCACCCCAACCCGCTCCCTTCCCCTCCCCCCTCACCAAGCCCCTCATCAAGCCCACTCCACGCCCCACTCCAAACCCCACTCCACGCTATGCCATATTCTGATTTCATTTAGCGTTTCCCGTCTAACCTCTTTTCTTTTTTTGCACCCATTCTCGCGCACCAGTAACTTCATCATCTAATTTTGCCTTTCCGTGCTGTACAGAATCTGGTAGTAAACATTTTTTTTCTTGCGTACAACTGAAGAAATGCGAAAATAGCTTTGCAGTTGATGCAACCAAAGAATGGTCTCTGTTTACATGTTTTAATTATTCAGGACAATTTTGTGTGTTTATTGTGCATCTATTGCAAAGACAATTATTGTAATTTATATTGCTGCAATGAAAGCTCCGTTTTCTTCTGCAATCATGTATACTACCAAATTGCTATTCATTACTTGGAGTTTGTGCTATTAATGTTGTTGGTACAATACATTATTCCATATTCCACGAAGAAATTGAATTCGCTTTAGTTTAGAATTCCTATATCATGAAAATACAATTTTGTGAAATGCTGTTATAAGTAATTATTATTTTCGAATATATGAGTCTCATATTTTTGTATAAATGTTTGATATAGACATTAGACGCTTGTAGTTTGCCATTAAAAGGCTCATAAAAAGTTAATTAAAATTGGTTTTCTGTTAGTAGCAAATTTATATACCAGGTTCTACTTGGGTATTTGCGTGCGCGTTTTTCAAAGCGGGAGTTTGAGTAACATTTGTGTCGCTATGTTTTACCTCATGTGCTTCTCAGCTTCAATTCTTGTTCAAACTTCTTCAAAATAACTCTTCGTCGTTTAAATACGTAATTTTGAATCACAGGCACGTCGCGAGAATGATCTAGACCTGGTAAACAGTACTTTTCCGGCAGATGAGATCTGCGATCAAGGTATTCAAGTAGTTGACGTCTTTCCGCTCTTGGACTGCGTGTATTTCTCCCTGACCATCCTTGCATTTACTTCCCCGCCCTTTCGTGTTGACACTGCTCTTGCACCGCCGCCCGCCATTACCCCACCCTTACCCTCGCATTTAGCCTGCTGTACAGACGTCTTTCCAATGTGCCCCGCTCCCACTTCGCGTTGTGTCTGCATCGCGTCGTTTCACACCCACTTCGCGCAGTTCCCCCGGTCTTTCGCGTAGTTGTTCGCCCCGCTTCGCGCCGATCCCCAACGGTCGCTCGCGCTTTCGCGTCGCCTCGTCCTGTTGCCCGCCGCCTCCGCTCCGGCACGCCCTCGGCCTGTTGAAACATTGAGCGCCACGGGAGGCCCTGAATAAATGAAGGCACGCGCCGCGTAAAACGTTTGGCAGCGGCCGAGTGCGAGGGCGTCAGCCCCCCCCCCCCGACCTCTTCCCTCCGTGAGGCCGTTGCTCTTCGGCTGCCCTCGCCCCCGCTCTCGCCCGCGCCCACGCCCACGTTTCGCTCTTATCTCGACGTGGACCCCGTCGACGGCAGGTCCGAGACGTGCATCCGACTCCCCTCTTTGTTGCTCGTTTCGTGCTTCTCTCCACTGGCCGGTTGTATTCACCTCTGTGTCTCCACTGTTCCACGCTCTCTTTTTAACCAACCCCTGCGGACGTTTTCTTGTTGCTAATCTTACACGCGAATGTAGAAACGAGGAAATCGCAATTATTTAAACTATCCGCGCAGTAGGTGGTAGTACTAGCCCCTGTAGGTAGTAAACTCTCCTAGCGGTAGAGGTACGCGGATCCAGAAAGAATGTGGGATCCAGAAAGAATGTTTTCTGGCCGCATGCTGGAGTTGAACACTTCATATGTACCCAGCAGCATTTCAAATGAAGGCTAGTAGTTTAGCTGTTTATGGATGAATGTGCTGAGAGGTTTGCTGACAATTCTTTTAAAATGCTTATGTGACATATTTATTACATGATGTGTTCTTGAGGTGGTTATTTGCAACATGTTATTTGAAGGTGTTCGCTATAATTGAATTGCCTTAAATCTTGCTTTCGAAATACCGAGAAAAAAGGTGCTGTGTACAATGGGTAAAATATTAAAATTGGACAAAAATAACTTAAGTTTTGTGAGTACAAAGAGAAATGTACAGGTTCGTATCCATTGTGGGTTTAAATAAATTCAAAGTAGTGTGCAACTTTTAAAATAATTTGGTGACAAACTGAGTTTTTTAAAATAATAAATATTATTATTATTATTATTATTATTATTATTATTATTATTATTATTATTATTATTATTAACTACAGATGGAAAAATTCGCTTAGAAAAGCATAAAGTGAAGGAGCACGACAGTTTCTGAAAAGAAGCGCCCTATTTTTCGAAACAAATAGAACACTTTTAGATAGAATAGATTTAGGTAGAATATAATTCACTGGCGAATTGATAGTGGCGCGTATCTTCCCAAAGATGGGTTAGAATTAAAAATAAACTTGTTAATTTCGATCTCCTTTTGAAAACTCAACTGAATATTTAATGCATCGGCTAACGTTAAGTAAGCAAAGTATTACCTGAACGATAAGATCTGGAATTTTCGGTTGTAGATTCCGTGTTTAACGTTCTTTTGGGCTGTAACTTCTCGCACACGTCAGGATTATGGTCTGTTAGTGCTGTTGTAAAAATGGTTTAGTCACGCAGGTGGCGAGAGGATACAATTTTGTACCAGAAAATAAGGATGTCCGTTTGAATGCAGGTGTCACGCATAACTGGGAGCTTTTGAGCTGAAATTTGGAAAATACATCAGGCCTAAGCTATAGTAATGCTATTCTGGATGTTATTAAGATATTTTAAATTCTGGGGTACTTTACATGAAGCCGTTGTGACATTTTTTTAAATTTTCTAAGTAAAGATTGAAGTTTTTCTTTAAATTGTTTGCTCGAATGGGAGAAAGTCATCTTATGAAAAATTCGATAGTCCCAATTTCCATTAAATCTTTAAATTTTTTTTTTAAAAAGCGAACGTTCAAATTTAATTTCTTGAAATCTGCCTTTCATCTACAGCATTAAACGCAGAGATTTTTTTGTCAATTCAATGTACCTCTCAATTTCAGAATTTTAAATGACGGCATGCACGTACAAAATATGAATAGTTATTGAGTTTCAACTCTTAAGAGGGGGAAAAGTTTTGGTATGTCGCGCATTCCCATTATTAAAATTTAAAGAAATTAAATGTAAATGCTTTCTATTATTTGGTTCACTGGTGTGGACTCTTCGTAACTGGGAAGAGCAGCGCTGCCAAAAGGAGCAGCGCGGGGTGTGGGCGCGGGCGCTGATTGGGGAGGACGGGGGCGGCGGGGGCGAGGATGGGAGGGTGTCGCAGCGGCTCCCATTAGGTAATGGAACTTTGCATTCGGGCGCCGGTTTGTCTCCTGCGCGTCGAGATCGGAAACGCGCGAGGATAACGACTCGACGCGACGCCACCGTCGGCGGAGGCGGCGGCGGCGGCGGCTGCTGCAGCACTCTGCGAATGAGGCCAGCCACGGCGAGCGGCGGTGGGCCCTAGCGGGGAATGCGTCGTGTCAGCCCCGCCCCCACCCCGCCTTTGGCATCTGCTGATGCTGCTTGCGGCGAACCGCTGGTGGGGGAGGGGGTTGTGGCGGCTCGCATTCACATCGTGTAGACTGTAGACTTACACCTACGTTCTCGGTTAATCTCCTGAGGTGTTCATGAAAGGCGAAACAGAGGGTGATCAACTAGTGTTTCCAGTCACTAGATCAAGATATAATAAAGTTTCTTTCAAATAAAATTCGGCTTGAGGATAAAGATATGTAGCAATATTTTACAAAGATGTTATCGTCGTGTTACGGACCGCACCTTAGGATTTGTAAAGAAAAAAAATTGTAAAATAATTTGAAGGTCGTGTGGAATTTAATTTAGGGCACGTTATTGAGTTGTTGCTTTCGACTGAACTACCAACACTACACGGTTTTGGATCGAGTATGTAAGAAATGAGGTCTGTTCAATTAGTACTCATTGACTAATTAAGCAGGAAATCAGTGTTGACCTTTAAAATGTATAAATATGTTGGCATTAAACTTGCGAAAGTTTATTGAGAAGTGTTATTGTTATTAATTTTGATCTGCTTTAGTACTTATGCAATAATATTAAATTCGAACAAGTTCGTTCTCTAAATGCTTAATTTTGTTTGATTTTAATTCCAAAGCAGAGTAATCAATTGAAAGAAAAACATCATAACTTGAGAGTTTAATACTTAATGCGTAGTTGATGATCCATACTTTTCTGTTATGTATCATAACAATCTACTTTGGACTCACAGTTCACAGTCAAACATATCTCTATAACGTTTTCTTATTTTAAAGAAATAATTAATTGAAAAAACCTCTTGTCTTGAAAGGTGGCCATAGTTGCCGGCATCCTTATGAAAGAGTCCTCTTTATCGATCTAAATAAAATCGAAACACGAAGTATTTGTTGGCAACTCGAGACATGAGCATGTAGAGTTACTTGTGCCCTGCAAGTAAGTTTTTGGCTATCAAGTGAAGTGCATCGTGCTTCTAAAAACTGATTTTCCAGCGTGAGCTTGAATGTCGACTTAATAATAAAAACTTCAACATTTCTTCGATGTTTTTGTAGAATACCGTTGCTAGTTTTCGATGATATGTACACATTTGCAGGAAAACTAGAATTATTTGGAAAATCTGATTATGGCCACCTGTAGACGGAGCAAGAGCATGCGGCGAGGTAGTTAGGGAGGTGTGGGCGTGTGTGCCCGGAGGCGCGCGGCGGAGCAGCGGGGTGGGGAGGGGAGGGGATGGGCGCTCCCTAATGGCCGCTTGCAGCGCGCCTCGCAGGTGAGCGCCCAGTAATGATGGGCATCGCGTGCGCACTGCCTCTGTGCCCGGCCCTGAACCGGAACTGGGTTAGTGGGTCTGCCGTCGGGCGCCTGCCCGCCCGCCCGTCCCCCGTCCGTCCGCCAGCACCCCTTTTGTCGCCCTTTCGGCCTCGACCGACGGCCGGTTCGTCCCCCGTTGCGTGGGTGACCTTCCGCTCCCCGCCGCCCTCCCACCCTTCGGCGCGCTGTTGATCGCCCTCCTGCGCTCCATCGCCCCTCGTTGTCAGTCGCGCGTCGCCCTCACTTCGCCCTATTGCTCGCCACCTTAATGTCCCCGTAGGCCGATGCTTTTAACCCCACACTTGTGTATTCTGTGCATGCCCCCAAAACACCGATTTTCCATAACTCACCTCCGTCGCAACCCTAGCCCTCACAGTTTCCCGCCCTCCTGACGCAAAGGCGCTCTCCCAGTGACCTTGTGCCTTGTCGTTTCCCCTCGCCTGTCCTCATTTCAGCCGTTGTCAATATCCACTCCACCAAGCCCTTCTCGCCCGCAATGCTCGTGCTTATGCAAGCGCATCCATCTCCATGTCGATTCTATCTCAACCTCGCTTTCCCGTCCATTTCCTCTCACACCTGGTCCTTTCCGAAAGCACACGTTTCATAACCCGATCGTCTTCACTTAAATTTTCGGTGCCTTCGGAACGCCGCGCCGATACTAGGTCTGGGTTCTGCACTTGGTAGCATTAACGCCTGCCGCTAGAGCTTGTTGCAATTCCGTCTATCTTGACTATCTTGAGTCGCTTATGTGGCACCACCGAATCTCCATGTCTACACCTCCACAACTCCCTCCTTTTCGCCTCTTTTCCTCGTAGGTGACGTCTGTACAGGCATTTGTATCTGATTTCATCTAAATGAACTTTCTTTGACCTACCAGTTTGTCGTTCGCTTCATTTTGCTTCTGTCGGCATTCATGGATAATGTTCTCCGAAACTAGACTTTTTCCACCTTGTTCCTTGCTAAACATGCTCTTTTGTGATCAGTTTGTTTCTGTGTATCGCATTTCCTTGACTACTGATTAGACTACACTTTCATCGTTGAAGTATTTGATATATTTTAACGAATTAAACAGAGATCTGTCCTTTCAGTAGGTGTTTTCACTAATCTAACGATATTTGGGAAATTCCTTGTTTATTGAAGATATAAGCTTTTTAGAAACTTCACTGCTGTGTTATTCCCGTATAGATGTTGGCTGCCTTGTTCATACACTGTAGCACTGAATATTGATGAAAGTCTTTGTATTTTGCCTTGTGACTGTTGCGGATTCTATTTATGGTAGCAATTGTCAATTTTTCATTGCTGACCTAGTTACGTGATGGCAATACACTCTCTTGTTAATCGAATTTGCCTGTTATGAATACTGAACGATGGGCTTACTAGAAAATCGATGTCTATGATGTGTTCATGTAATTCTTTTTGGTGTGTTTTTGTAAATGAGTCGACGAAGGTTGTTGACACTGATCTATATACTTTCCTCGAATTCTGAAATGTCGTACTTCTATTTCATTAGTATCATATTCATATCATCTGGCTCATGCCCAAATAAGGCGGCAATATCTAGTTTTGGATATTTTTTAACTTTTTTTTTGGTCTGTAGTTAGATCTACAGCTGTTGCAATTCTGAATAAGTGGGGTGATAAAATGTTTTTAATTTTCGAGAAAAAGTATGACTGTAAAATTAAAAATTGTTGAATAGCTGATAAAGATAAAGATTACAAGAGCGACTAAAAAACAAGAGATTAAGTGTGATTAGTATAGTGGTTCAGTGTTGGTTAACAAATATTGGTTTATATTTTGAGAAGATATATATACTTAGCACGTAATTACAGTTCAATTAACCATAAACACTTGCAACTCTTCGTGAACAATACTAGATTTCTGTGCCCAAATTGGACGATATTACAAATTTTATACAACCTTTAATTTCTATCACCTGTGTATCATTGCTTCAAAATATAGTTAGCAAAGATAATAGGTAATTAGAAGCAAAAGTATTTCTTTAAATTCTGTGCTTTTGTGTTCGCATCTGTGAACACTATCATCAGTTAGCAACATTTCGGTTTCATGACGATGCGCTAGTTCTGCTTTGTAATTTGATGGAATCAGGTATCGTACTATTAAAATCAAATCCCTAAAGGAACGTATAGTGTTCGGTCTGGATGTGATTTTATGAATGTGTGCAGATGTACAAGTAAGTGAAAAAACGCCCGGATGCTCAAACCACTGAAGTTGCTGTTTGACCCCCCCCCCTCAAATTCTATTCTAAATTCTCCTTATGCTCGTCGAAACTTTACGAGAAAAAGAAAGCAGTGCAATTGCTGCCCCGAGCAAGTGTTTGTGGTCTAGTCGCTCTTGTGGCGAACGCGCTCTATGTGCACCCGTTGTGCTCGCTCGCCAGTGGCCTTCGTTCCCCGGCCACCGCGCGCCGCCCCAGCGCCTGCCTCGCCTCGCCTCTCCGCCAGCGTCGCAGGGCTCGCTTCTCCGCCTCCGCCTGCAGTCGGCGCGCAGACCTCCGCGCCGCGGAAGATGTGCCGCGCGCCGCCTCCTCCGCTCCACCCCCCGCCCCGCCGCGCCGCGCCTCCGCGCCGCCCCGCCACCTGCGTGTTGAGCCCCCCCCCCCTTCCACGTGCCGTTCGCGTAGCGCGCGCGTCGCTTGTCGCCTGCCCCGAGTGCCCGCCAGCGCGGAGCGTCACCACGCCTCACCAACCGGTGTCGTCGGCTGCTGGGCTGCCCCCGCGCCGCATGGTGCTGCAGAAGCTGGTGCCCACACGCTGGCCCCGCCCGCGCCTGCCCAGGAGGAGGTGAGTCACCCCCCCCCTCCACACAGACACATACACACGCACGCGCGATCCTAGGAATCGCTACGACAGGAGAGGAAATAAAACAGTGGCCAGGCTAGTTAGGCTACTTCGGAGAGTGGAAAAAGGTCCACATTATTTCAGAACTTACATTACTACAGAACATTTACACTGAGAATATTGCCGACAAATTTGGACCCTCACTGGGCTTTGAATAATATTCGTAATTTATCTGTGAATAATATTCGTAAATAATCGGTGAAATGTTCCTCTGTTTTCACTGATAACAATCAAAATTAGTGAAATTGTAGATTTAAGATGAGAATTATCGTACAGTCTTGTCAAGAGTGCTTCAAATACAAGGAGCCTGAGGAAACAGGCTTCAACAGGGAGCTGATAAATAGTGTCCCAATTATCGTGAAAGCCGGAGAGTGCGAAGTCGGGTGTCTCTAGAAGCCCAATGATGTTGATTGCATAGACTTAGCATAGACTGTCGCCTTTATTGCACCTGCTCGCAACAATTCGTGCGCACGAAACAAGGCGTTCAGACGTGCAGGCACCGGCGCATTGTTGTGAAAAATACATTGTTATGGTCAACTTTATAAAAGGCTGTTGTCTCACATATTAACTGTCAAAATAAAAGAAGGTACAGAAAAGGATCAGCGCGTGTTCATTGGAACTAGTATTGAGCTCCTTTGGTAAGGTGCCATTGTGGTAAATACCACCAAAGCCAACAGCGCCTTCAAAACATTCGATTTTATGCTACGACGCTGTCTGCCCACAAGAGTGCGTCCGAACCGTACATATGACCAACTGTTAACACATTCATACTCCAATAATTCAGGTTCTTCAATAATGACTTGAACGTTGGTTAATTTTTTTTCACTGATTTCCAACAGGTTCATGTTAATTTAAATGCTGTGACACTAATTAGCCCAATGTTTTTTACTTTACTGTACAGTTCTTGAAACTGAACTGAATTCTATTCTGTTACTAGCAACGAAAATTACTGTTTCTATCATAAATTGTTTATTAATTAACCCCTCGTATGCTTTGGAATTTTCAGAAGGAAGCGATATTTGAAGTTTATCAATTCAATACATCCAGGTCATCTTAAGGATCGATATCCATTTCCGATACTGATGAATGGAAACGACGTCTGAATTCTTACATTATATCCTTTAACAGATACCCAGTATATATTAGTCATACAATTATGTAATAAATGTTCTCTTGATTTGAATGCAAGAGAAGATGTAGATAATAATTTCAGTCAATTTTCAATATTTAAATCACGCACCTTCCAAGGCGATTCAGTGATTTATTAAAAGCAATCTTTAAAGTAGTTAAAAAATATTTACTTGCTTAACCGTGGACAATTCCATATAATGTTAACATAGTCTTTTAATTTACATAGTCTATAGTAATTTTTATAAAATGTATTTTCATTCGATATCTGGTGGTGAACCTGTCTGTCATTTAATGTTCTTTATCTTAAATTATTTCCATTTTAAAGATCATTTAAGAGAGATTTTTGCCGAAAGTGCTAGCAATTAGGCCTCTCTCGTTACACAATGTCGAATACCATTAAACCAAATCGTATTGAAATTTTGTTCCGCCGTCTCTCATTATATGCTCTAGCCCCTTAGGTACAGTTCATTTAGTCTGCTAAGACATAGCCTCGGGCTGTTCTTTTCACAAATATTTTAATTGAAAAAAAATGAAAAGCAAATACATTTCATTCTAAACAAATCAATCGCATTAATCTCCACGTAATTGTTTAAAATGTACATCCGAATGTGCGATGTTCAGAATCAGAAGAATTATTCGATGAACAAAAGAACAATTTATATGTGTACTTTGAGGCAACAAAAATGACGTGTATTTGTTTCTGATGCCCAACACCAAAGCAGGTTATCTCACGTCAGGCGACAAGTACAGCAACTACAAGGGCCACCGTTAACCCGCTGTGGAACGTGTATGCAATAGGGCCAAGCGAATGAAGTACGCGGTACACTCTGTCAGCATTGCGATCGACCATTCCGACGTTACCCAACGGCGCAATCTGTTGTGTTCCTAAATAATGTGTTTGGAGGCTTGGGGGAGCACATGCGTCGCATCCCTATCTGAGAATCTGTGGGGAGGCGATATGTCACGGCGAATGCGAGGCCGCCGAGTCGGTGTCTGGCGGTGCAGGTGGAGCGATGACGCGATCGGGGTCACGGGCGCATCGCGCGGCGCGCACGCAGCCCGCGCAGGGCCTCGCGGAGCGGAGCGGAGCGGGAGCAGAGATCGATGCCCCGGCGTATTTACGCCGCCAGCGGGGATCGTCGCCCCCCTCGCCTCTGCGCAGCTCCTCTCCGCTCTGTTCAGCCCCGCCCCGCCCCGCCCCCCACGGGCCCGGCCGTTCCCTCTGCCTGCCGCGCTCTGTCCTGCCGGCGCTCTGCCAATGCCCGCTCTGCCCTGCCCCGATCCACCTCGCCTCGCTCCACCTCGCCCGCTCTGCTCCGCCCCGCCCGCACTGCTCCGATTAGCCTCGCTCCGCCGCCCGCCGCCCCGCCCCGCTCTGCTCGCCTCGCCCCCGCCTCGCCCCGGTCTGCTCCGCCCCACTCCGCTGTGCTCCGCTCCGCCCAGCGCAGCCCCGCCTCGCTCCACCCCGCCCCACTCTGCTCCGCCCCGCTCTTTCCCGCTCTGCTCGCCAGCCAAGCTCCATGCCGTTCCGCTCTTGCCCGCACTGCCCTGCCCTGCTTGCTTCTGTCCAGCTCGCCGCCGCCCGACCCCGACGCCCAGCCGCTCAGCTCCGCCCCCCCACACCCCCGCGCCGCACCGCGCTACCAAACGCCGCCAAGCGCCGCTCCACCCGGTACCGAGCGCGCCTCGCCGCGGTTCGCATTCCTCGTTCCCGACGCGCATCGATTGCAGCGCCCGTCGCCCTTCGTCTGTCAGAGACTCGCGCCGCTGTGCCCCTATTTCGTCTCTTCCCGCCTCGTTTCTCCCCGCGCACCCAACACTCCTCAGCCTCACTCTACCCCGCCCAACCTGGTCCTGTCCGGCTTCTCCCCGCGCACCCAACACTCCTCAGCCTCACTCTACCCCGCCCAACCTGGCCCTGTCCGGCTTCAGTTACTCTGCCGTTCCCTCTCCCATGTATAAATCCTGTGTCTTTGTCTACCTCCCTTCACTTGTACCCCTCTCGGTCGACGTTCCCCCACGTCCCTTTTCCTGTTTCATTCTCTGTCTCTCTGTTCGAATTTTGTATCCCCTCGCAGTGTCTCCTCTTTTCCTTTTCTTTGTGTGTTGAAGTCCCTCGATCGTTGTTCCGCCGTGCAATCGCATGTCATGTTCTTCCGCTACATTTAGTTTTTCCATCGTCTTTGTTTCCCGGCCAGCTATTTCCGCATTCTTATCTGTTGCGTCCTTCCTTTCCCATACGTCTTATCCCTACTTTTTTCTTCTTCCGTTTTTTCAGCATCTCCTCCTTCTCACGTTTATCTCTCCGGCCGTAATTTCTGTTTCGCTTTACTTTTTTATCACTCCCTCTTGCGTGATTCGCATTCCTTTCCCCCCAGAGCGTATCGATTCCCTTACCTGTCAAATATCGTTTCGCTTTTTTTCGTTTCCTTTAAGCGCATTGTCGTATCTGCCGTGCCGTGCCTAGCCATTTTCTCCATTAAAGGATTCTCCGCTTATCTGCTTCTTTTGAATTCCTGATTTCATTTTTTCCCGAAGGTGAATCTCTCCTATTCAAGCCCTATTACTCGTGCTTTTCCCTTTGTTGAAACTCCGCATTGCCTGATTCATCTCCAGCTATATTTCTGTCCATTTTTCTGTTTTTCCAGTAAGTCTTGATTATTACTCAGTACCAGTTACAACGCGTTACAAGTCTGTCCCCTGTTTTCGGTCACTAGGAATGTAATTGGGTCTTTGTTGTTTGCGCACGTTATATCAGGCTTACTGATTCATTAGATCGACAAAATTGAAAATTTGAAATCTTCGGAGTACCTTGTATGCGCTGTAGAAGGCGTTGACGTTCGTGACTCTTAGCGTCGACAGTACCTCGTCTGAGTGCTGTTTGCCTCCCAATTGATCGCAATGACATCGCTTGTGAATCGCCAGGGTGCGTTGCCCCCTACTGTGTCCTCGCGCGTGCGAGCTCAGTTGGAACTCCAAGTTTGTTTTCCCGCCTCTCATATCCAGTCACAGTGAGTAAATAAAAAATGAAAGGGAACTCTAAAAAAAGACATTTTTGTTTTATTTGTTCAGCCGTTGCGTTAGGCGAATCATCGAGGAGAAAAGGTATATGTTTAGCCTGGTAAACAAATATTCCACTTATAAACGATACGGTTCAAATTATTCATGGCTGTAAAAAGATACCTGTCTGCTAACATAACCATCTATTTTGGATATAATCTTAACATGGAGATTGTAAATTTGAAAATAGGGAAAAAAAATAATACTCTCCGAATATTATAATAGTGATATTGCATTAACTGTATTCGATGCATCGTATTTATTCTCCTAATGAAAATGAAAAAGGAATATTTAAGTATATTTTCTGTGGTACGAGCATTCACTCCGATGCCCTCAAAATCTCGCAGACCACCATTTATGTCGACGAGTTCCTGGAAAGCTGTGCTGGAACCGCGTCTCTCCTTATATGTACGCAGGGTTGCAGTCGCGCCATATCCAGGGGTGTTACTGTATGCTGCTTGTGTCTTGATTCCCGTATCCGCGTGTTACATACACATTTAGAGCATTCACACGTGTATGTGGTATATAACCATCCTCCCCTTGTTATAGCTCATTTTCGGGTTTTAGCAGCATAAGACATTTCACCGGGCTCTTGTCATTTGCATCCACTGGGTAATTAACATTCTCTTTACAAAACGTCCCACGGTCAGTGCGCCCGGCGTGACCTCCCCTCTCCCCGCCCCTCCCCCGCTGGGCGCCCGCGCTGTGGCCGACCGCGTTGACGAAGCCCGGGGCGACGGTGTTTTGTTTGTGCGCCCGCCCCCCTCTATTTGGGCAGCACGCCGAGCGCGCGGCCGCCGCGGGAGCGCTGGCGCCGCCACGTGGCCCTGCCCGCTCCGCCCGCCCCTGCGCCGCACGGCATCGACCGGCGCGCCCGCGGCGCCCCCGGGAACCGCGTCGTGTCGCCCGGCGCGGGCGGCCGGGCCCGGCGCATGCCATCGCCCGAGGGGCGCGCACGTGTGTTTCCTTGTGTACGTACGTGTGAGCTTGTGGGACGCGCCTGTGTACACGTTATACACGTGTGTATGTGGTGCACGCGTCTGCCTTGTTGTTGCAAGTCGTGTGGTGTGTGTTGGTGTACGTTAGTGTATTGGTTTGTCGACGTTCGTCGTAAGTCTGTGTGTGCTGGGTGTACGATTTTATTTAATAATTTTGAACGCAACTTGTCAGTTGTTTTGTACAATTCGGTAATTTTTTTTGCAAACGAAATTGATCGCCTAGTATATTTTTCTAAACAATAACAGTATGGTGGCTAACGTTTCGGTCAGCGTATTGTGGTCTTCTTCAGACAGCAGTAAAGCAGTACGCTCTGAAGAAGGCCACAATACGCTGGCCGAAACGTTAGTGACCATGACATTGACGCGGCTCGTCCCGGATAGCCTAGACAACAACAGTGTCACTCTTTTAAGTGAGTGAGCATATGAGAGAGAAGAGTTAATTTTTTCAGTTCGAATTTCTCTAATGGTACAGGTTTAGGTTGCTCAGGACATTAACCGATGTCGCTTCCGTGCCTCTGACCGCGAGGTCCTCGGGTTCGAGTCCCGACGGTGGCAGAATTTTCGAAACTACATTGTCAGCAAGGTCAAATTCAGTCGCTGTCTCGACGAGAATTTTAGTGGCAGCCTTCTGTGATCGTTAGTGTTTCGTGCTCTGTCAAATCAACATCAGGCGAATGCCAGTGAAATACCCTAACAAAGGAGCCAAGCATCATGTGCGATTTTTTCTTCCCATTCCGTGACCTACCTTTACTTCTACTATCACACATGCCAGAAAACCAGTTGCGAGCTTAGAGCTTGACCCAGTTGAGGCGGTGCTCCGCTGGTGGGAGATTCCTGATTGGGGAACACCCTGCTAGCCGACGGGTCGCCGATCTCATCATCACGCCGGGACGCAGATCTTATCATCCAGCGGGGGAAGATTACTACTACACTTAAGGGAATTGTGACCTTGGTTGCTGACGCGCCGGGAATCACTAATCAATCAATTATCTAATGGTAATTTCATCGTGCAAACGTGCATAATTAGAGTTTTAGTTGGTCTGAACAGTAAAGTTATCACTGATTTTAAGTGAGTGAGCTTATAAGAAAGAATGTGAATTATTTTCAGTTCGTATTTCTGTAACAGTTCCGGTTTAGGTGGCTCAGTTCATCAACTGATGTTACTGCAGTGCCTCTGACCGGAGGGAGGGAGACAAAGCGAAGCAGACATGCTAATAATTAAGTAGAGCAATGGCAGAAAATATGCACATTCAGCCTGATTTTGCCTATATTTCTT